GGGTTGTAAGCGTTTTACGGCGCTCGCAACTGCATAAGGTCATATCTGCGCGTGAGGTAAATCTCCTATCTGACTGTCGATTCTCAAAAAATATGTGTACTTTCAAAATACTGTATCAAATTTTCGTTGTTGTTGTTGTTTTTTGTTGTTGTTGTTTATGTTGTTGCTGCTAGTGTTCAGAATACTATTATTGTGTTTTTCAAGGAACATCTACTTTCTCCCCTGCGACTGGGCAGTGGGCTGTATGCACTCCTTCATTTAAGAATAAATGTATACCTTGCTTTGTGTCTTGAGTAAAGGCCAGGGGCTCTCGTGGCCTAGAGGTTAAGGTGTTCGCCTCTCATTCGAAGGTCCCGGGTTCTAATCCGGGTAGGGACTGAACAATTTTCTTCTCTAAAATTGTCTCCTTTCACCTCCTTTCCTGCTCTCTAGTAATGTTCTTTCGTCTGCTTTCGTCTCCACTTTCTGCCCCCACCTCCTCACCTCCCTTGCCCCCTCCTCTGGGCTCCTGACTCTTTCTGCAGCCTTTCTACTGCCACTCCTTGGCTCCTTCTTACTGTTGTCGTTCAGCCACATCTATGATCTTCGGGTAGGAAAGATCTATACCTTGCCTTCTCGAACAAGGGTGAAAAATCTCGGAAGTCCCTTCTGCAAAATCCACATGTTAATGCACACGTTAAAGATCCCTTGGTGGTCCAAAATCGGTAAGAGAAAGCTTGAGCCTCCACCCGGGCAAAATGTAAAAAATCACACCAACTGAAAATGTTTGGTGTGTCCCGCGCGCTCTTATGACCTTGCGAGCGCCGTAAAACACTAAAAAAAAAAAAGAAAAAGAAAAAAGGTAAAGGCCTCACTGGGCCTCCATTCAGAGTTTACTTGACCTACTACTCACTTTCGGTGTCTCACACTCTGTAAGGCCAATATAATGCTACCCATGACGCCATACGCGAAAGACGTCTTTAATCTACGAGGGTATTCTGAACAGGGAGACTGCGACACGCAGTAAATCTTATCTTGTACGGTGTTAACCTTTAATAGCAGCAACTAAAACAATAAAACGAAAACAAGAGAGACAAAAATTGCAACACCAACAGTAATAACTAGGAGAGTAAGAAAACGAATTCTGAAAATATACAGATGAGAATACGCTCAAATAAAGTCAATTTATACAGTTTAAAAAAACCCCCAATAGAACGTCGTATAATATCAATAAGTAAATTTACATACAGAAAAAACTTGTTTTGTTTTTGTTTTCTTGACTTAAAAAAAAAGTGCAACGCTATACAAAATATGGAATATGACGAGGCAATCGTATCATTCATTATTACCTCACAATGTAGATATTTTGAAATGACACTAACTCATCCCTGTTCTGTAGGGAGAAAGTTAGCTGCTGATAGTTTTACCACTTAGGTCCTGTGCAACTTTCCCAATATAGAGGTGACTTGGTGGGTGGTTGGCGGGTGCTCTGGTGTGGTTTGCTTCTTCTTTCCTATCAAACATCCATCGTACTTATCTCCCCTTCTTCTTTTTTAAGTATGTTACTCTCTTGTAACACCTCAAATCTTCTGGCGCTAATATGAACTTATGCAGTTGCGAGCGCCGTAAAACCTCTACAAAAAAAAGAGTTAACTCTTATTTTACTCATAGCCTACTGAGGTACCATTTAATAGGACAAAGATAAGCAAAAATCCTTGCCACGTAACGTCATTAAAAAGTTTCAACGAAGTGCTTACTTTATTTCCCAAGTTTTTTTTTTTCATTTTAGATGAGCTTTTATGGTTGAAGTCCACGTTTTATAGTGTTGAAGAATTATTGATTATTTTTCTATAAATAATTATTTAAAAGCTGTTCAATATAGAAGTCATGTCCTTTGGAAACTAGGTTATCTGGTTGTGAGGAAAGATAAGCACTCCAGGAAGTACAAGAAATAGCACTCCAATTACTCAATTGGGTTATAGAAAGGGTGACCCATGTTCGAATCCTCAATGATGTCTTTTTTTATATGAATCGTTTGTAAAGTTTTCAAGACTGACCAGGCATTTGGCTTCGTCCTCTAGAAAACGTACGTTAGAACTGGAGGCTGGAAGCTCTTGTTCTGCTTTTAGTTTAGTTTTAGTAGAGGATTTACGGCGCTCGCAACTGCGTAATAAGGTCATATAAGCGCCAGAAGATTAGGGGTGTTACAAAGGAGTAACAAACACAAAAAGAAG